GGGAGAGGGAGAGGGAGAGGGAGAGAGAGAGACAGAGAGAGTTCTCTGAACCCTAAGTGCCCCCTCTGAGATGGGAAAACAGAACCCAGCAAGAAGAGAGAAGGGGTTGGAGGGTGTGCACAGCCCGGAGCTGCCACTGACTGCGGGCTTCCTGGCAGTGCCCTGGGCCCGCCCTGTGTGTCTCCTGCCACCAAGTGCTCACACTCACAGAGGCTGATGGCCTGAGAGCTCTGGGGACAGCCAGGGCTGGAGGGACAAAGGGAAGGTGCTGACGGGATGCCGGGCTGGCACCTGCAGGGGCTGGGCCAGGCTGCCAAGGCAGGGGCTCCTTACTCTGAGAAGCGGTTATAGAACGGGGAGCGCAGCAGATAGTACAGCAGCAGGATGGTCCGCCGCCGTAGCTCCAGCCTCTCCCTCCGCGTCAGGCCCTTCTTGTCACTCAGGAGGCTCAGGCTAGGGTGGGAGAAGATGCACTTAGGACCAGGGGTCTGATCCGTCACAGCAGGGGCCACCGAGGCAGCCACGGGAGAAGCAGGGGCCACTGCCCACCCAGCGGAGGTGGGGCCTGCAGCATGAAGCCCCAGGCAGGCCAAGGCTCACCTGGTCACGTCCAAGACACCAGACAGGAGCCAGGGTGTCCACGACCGCTGACCCCAGAGGCCCAGACTGAGAACTGACGGCCAAGGCGTCAAGGATGTCTCCGGCACGGGCCCGGCTGGGCCCTGGCCCCACCTGCCCAGCCCCAGTGCCAGCCCAGCCCAGACCAGGCCAAGGATACGGTGCAGGAGAGGCCGCGCTATGTACAATGACTCTGCGATGGTCTCCTGCAGCCCCAGGGGCGTTGGGGGGACACTCAGCTCTTCGTGTCGCTGCGGCTGAGCCGTGCACTGCCGGGGGGCTCCCCAGTGCCTGGCGTGCAGGGACGGAGCTGGGACACAGAGGTGGTGCCTGAGCGCGAGGCCAGAGGAGGGGACGGCACCGATGGCTGCCACGCTGGCCTCAGCAGGGGCCACTTACTGTTCTGAAGCGTGCGCACCACTCGCTGGGACCGCTTTCCCACGTAGGACCGCTCCTGGTCACCAGGGCTGTGCTCACCATCTGGCAGGGACAGACAGAAGACCACACTGTCAGAGGGACGCACTTCTGGTGCAGCCTGCAAAGAGCACCTGTGCAGCCAACGCTCAGGGGCCGCGGCTCTCTGTGCCCTGGACCTGCCACAGAGGGAGCCGCTAGAAACCTCCCTGGCCTGGGGAGGGACCAGAGCCACCTGTGATCAGAGCAAGCCAAGAACCCAGGCTTCCTGGGGACCAAAGGAGGGCCCAGGCCAGCCATGTACGTGGGGAGCACAGCAGCCCAGAGGCCACACACGCTGAACCTGTTTCCTCTGTGCCTGCTGCAGGTGAGCAGAGGCTGAGCTGACAGGCCGTGTGTCCACAGCCCTGCGGGTGCTCTGCATCTTGGGCCTGTGGTTTGTGATACAGAACAAGTACAGAGATTAGGTTGGTCCCCGACCTAATCTTTTTCTTTGTTATGGAATACAGGATGTAGTGCGATGGGACAGGTGTGTTACAACAAGGTATTCACAATGGTCAGCCCTGTTCCACTCTGGAGCAAGAAAGCAGCTTACTTGGGTGCTGTGCCTGGGTCTCCCGGTCCAGGGGAACAATGGGGGGTGAGGTCTGGAGGCCAGCCTTGAACCAGAGCAGCAAGAACATCCGAAGGACAGCCCTGGGAAGGGGCACAGCACAGCTGGGGGAGACGGCTGGCCAGCACAGGGCAGCACTGCCCTGCTGAACGCCGTCCTCATGGCCAGCCAGGCCAGCCCAGCCCAGTCCTGCCCTCCTCAGCCCGACCTACTTGGCCAGCTGGATGAGGGCGATGACAAGCCAGCGGCCCATTTCGCCCCACACCTTGGCGGCCCCCATCTCCATGAACACCTCCACACACTCCAGCACGCTCAACCATGTCAGCAGCTTCTGCTGGGACAGCGACTGCAAGAATCCCAGGCCAAGAGGTCAGGGGGCTCATGGGCCAGGAGATGTGGATTTTCCCCTTCCAGGCCTAGGTGGCAGGCCTGAGTTCTAATGCCAACTGCACCAGCAACAGACTAGGTACCCTGGGACAGGTTCCTGCACCTACTGGAAACTGTCTTCAACCAAGACAGAGACACTGATACTTGGTTTGAGATGCATCTCACACTCTGAGGCCAGAAACATCCCGCACACATGGGCTGCTATTACTATATTGTTCCTGCATCCCTAGGCTTCCCGCCCTCGGCTCACCACTGGCAACTTTCTCCGAAGTTCCTTCCGCAGGATCCCGTCATTGAGCAGCACAAGCAGGTTAGAGGCTGAGTACACTGAGGAGTAGAGGCCGGACTTCAGAGGTGGCCCTGCAGCCTCCACCCCTCACCTTCTCCCCAGAGCTCCATGGATCACCCGTCATGTGCTGTGTTCAGCCACCCACAGGTTATATGGAAACCAACCAGCCTCTCCACCCACTTCCTCATCACTCCACTCCCCAGACTGAGCTGGGCTCATAGACAAGATAGGTCGATAAGCAACCAACTGGCTCTTCTCCTGCTGGACAGCACCAGCCACCCAGCTGCTCAGAAGCCCCCCCCCATCGTGCTTCCAAGGCCACATGTGTGGTCCCGCCTCCTCACTAGTCCCCTCTGCAGCCTGTCCCTGAAAGCTTATGCCATCTCCAGCTTTCAAAACCCAAGTCCTTTGGGGACTGGCATCTCCAATACTCACTGGGCAAACACTCCTGCGGCAATGCCAGTTTGGGAAACTAGAACTCTGGGAGATCCGAATTTGAATACTGGTTCTGCTGCCATCAGTGACTGTTCCCTAACCTCACTGAACTTCTGTTCCCTCAGCTGGGCAGTGAATACAATAGTGCCCACCTCATTCTTGTAGGAAGAGTAAGCTGGCATGGGCAGGAAAGGCATTTAAGCCAGTGCATAGCCAGTAATAAACAAAGACCTCAGACCTGTCTCCCAAATATGGGGACACAGAGGGCCCTGGGCCGTGGACACTCACAGCACAGAGAATCTAACTGGCAGCCCAGGACCTCGAGGCAATGTGGCCACCCCTCTGGGACGCCCCCCCGAGCCCAGATCGCCCCGCGCCACCCCAGAGCCCAGCTCACCCAGTTCTGACAGCTCGTGCGAATCGGAGAAGCGACCTAGAGAAGGTAACGGAGGCTTTGGTGAGCATTTGCCTCAGCCGGTAGCTTCGGGTTCCCGGACTCCCCTCCCTACTCCCTACGGAAACCCGGACGGGACTTCTCAAGCACAGCGATCACTACCCTGAGTCCGCAGGGAAAGAGGGCCACAGGGGTCACAGATCAGGGCCCCGCAGGAATAGGTCAAAGGTCAGGATGGCACCTGCCAGCAGGTAACTGAGGCCTCGCACCGCCGTCTCCAGCTGGGCCGTGGCGGCCGGATGACGAGTCACGTACTCCTGGTAGCGGAGGCCCAAGAGCCGCAGCTTCTCCATCCCTCCCGGGCCACTGGTAAACCCACGGACCAACAGTGCGACCGACTGCGGCGCCCCGCTTCCTGCGCCCTCCCTGCTTCCGGCCCTAGACCCGCCTCTCGGTTGGTTAACTTCCGCGGGCTCCCGGTACTGAGGCTGGGCGCCACTGAAGCAGCGCTTAGCAACTGCGGGCCTGAACCCGCCCTCCCAGCTCTTTCAAGTCATTGGCTGACACGACCTTCCGAAGCCATCTGGTCGGCTCTTAGCCCTACTTGGTTGGCTATCCTTGCGCCTGCGCAGTTAAGAGCCCAGGGAACGCTCCGCGGTAGTCTGAGAAGTTCATTCCGGAGAAAGGAGAATGAGCCCTGAGTCTTTCCAATAGAGCGCCGAGACGCTCGAACGGGAGGACTGACTTTTACGGGATTAGGAGGTAGCGCGTGGAAAAGAGCTTCGATTAGAATTGGGGAGGTGCAGGGAGTCGGGCTGTGTGTCTCAGTAGGTGCACGTTGGGCCATCTGGCCCCGACTCCGTCCCCACACTGGGGAACCTGAGGCAGCCAAGGGGCCAGCCTCAGCGCAGTCGCACGTCTTTAGCCAGCAGATTTAATACTCTGGCTTCGGTCCCAGCTCCCTCAAGGACTGCGACCCCAAGACGGCGCACCTGGAAGCCCACCTCCGCGAGAAAACGTTGTTCTTTGCCTGGGGTGACCTTGGGTTTCCCATCTGTAAAATGGTTCATCCGTCCTTGAACCGGGATCACTCTCCGAGCGATCTCTGGCCCTCGGATGCACCTCCAAAGAATGGGGACCACGCTCCGGGCATCCCTTCCCAAACCCGAGGTGGTGAGGACACTGCAACGGGGAGGCGACTGATTGGCTGGGGGAAGGGGGCGTGGCAGGGCTGCGCCATTGGGTCCGCGGCCCGCGGATTTGTGGTACCTTGGGAATGGAAATAAGATTGTTTTACCTAAGCTCCTCCTCTGGGTGTTACCTCCAGACTGGCAAGCGTATGCTTGAGAACTCCCAGTCTAGATTCGAATGCTGGTCTAGTTCGAACAAGGAGTCCCGGCGTTTTAAACCCCCTCCCCCCAGCGCGCTTAGTTTTCCATATCACGTGGAGAATCCGAGCTGCCTTCCCTGTTCACACCAAGGAAGACCGAGGCAGGAGAGCTGGCCCGGGAGGGGTAGAGGTCCTGGTTCAGAGGAGGCGACCCTGGGCATCGTGGATATTTCTTGCCACTACCGGGGTGCCACGCTTCTCTTGGCAGATGTGCCAGGTTGGCGGCACTTTTGTGCTCAGATAGGGAGTTAGAGGCCCGAGTGGCAGGGCAAGGCATTAAAGGAAGGGGCTGGTGGCAGTGCCCTCTAGCTGACTGCCCAGGGCCCAGCAGGTAGCAAATGGGTAGGACAGGGGCTTGAGTACTGGGCAGGGTGCACCTCTTTCTTGCTTTTGCTTCCTCCTCTTATGGTCATAAAGAATAGCAAGGGTGAGGGAAAAGCCCCATTCCTCAGCACTCCCAGGCTGGAGGGGGACACAGGAAAGAGCCCAGCCCAAGCACAGAATTGTGGTACGCTGGCTTTGGAGCCTGCTTTCTCTCCTTTCCCCCACGGTGCAGGGCATGGACCAGACCAGGAGCAACAGGCAGTGCCCAGGGTGGACAGGGCATGGTGACCCCTTCCTGCTGGACCACTGGCTGGGCCTGGCCTTGGCCAGACAGGCCGGACTGGATCATTATCCCCTCAGGGCTAATCACAGGGAAGAGACACAGACCAGTACAGCAGGCACAGATGAGGACAGTGGAGGCCCAGAGATGGGGCCTGCCTACCCCAAGGTCGCACAGCAAAGTCCTAGCAGGGCTGAGCCAAACTGGGTCTGAGGCCAAGGACCAGTGCCTAGGGCACCCTTTGAAGGTAGACTAAATCCTTCCATTTGCCCTGGGGGCCGAGGCTGAGTGAGAGGAGGTTCCCCCAAAGGCAGATGGGATCTTAACTCACCTCACTCATGGGGTAGGCAGATTTGCTGGCGCCTGTCCTAGAATGCGTCAGTGAGAGGAATTACGAGGGTTTATTGGACAAAATGAAGGGCACAGATTGAATACAGTGTGGGCCCTAGAGAGATAGGCACAGTATGGTCTGGGGCTGGAAATCTGTACAATCGTGAATCTATATAAAGTATGGATGAACTGCCAAGCATGATGGTGCACACCTGTAATCCTAGCACTTGGGAGGCTGAGGCAGGAGGATCACCAAGAGTTCCAGGCCACCCTAAGTTTGAGGCCAGCCTGAAATACACAGTGCGATCCCTCAAGAGAAAACAAAAAAAGAAAGTATGGCTCAATTTATTGGAGAAGGGCAATGGCCCATTCTTCAGATGATGGTAATGGCTCTTTCACAAGTGAAAGGCCTCGTTTACAGGTGGAAGGTGATGGCCCATCCCAGGCGGAAGGTCCATTGTACACAAAAAAGGCACTGCCAAATCTGTTCATTTTTTAAGACTTAAAATTTTAAGGAAGAGGGTGGCACCACACCTGCCTTGCAAGTGCAAAATCTTGAGTTCAATCTCCAATACCAAAAGGAAGAAGAAAAAAAAGGAATTTAAGGAAAGACAGGCAGGTGTGGTGGTGTTGGGGCACTCCTGTAATCCCAGCACTCAGTAGGCTGAGGCAGGAGGCTCACCACAAGTAATCACCTGGATTACATAGCAAGACCTTCCCTCTAAAAAACAAACAAACAAATATAAAATAAATAGAATTTAAGGAAGGAGTAACCTGGAAGGGAAAAGAATTTTAAATGACAATTTTTTTTTGTACTGTTTGTTTTTCTCCACACCACCACACCCTTTATTTTGAGACAGGGGCCTTGCTAAATCACTAAATTCCCAGGCAGGGTTTGAATTTGTGATCCTTCTGCCTAACCTCCCAAAGTGCTGGGATTATAGGCAGCTCAAAATTGCACTTAAACAAACAAGCAAAAAACAACTGCAGTTTATAATTGGATGTAGTCACGCAGGCCTGTAATCCTAGTACTCTGAGAAGCTGAGGCAAGAGGATCTCCAGTTTGAGCCCAGCCTGGGCAACTTATGGCAGTGAGATCCTGTCTCAAACTTTTAAAACAATTTCTAAAAGGAGTGGGGCCACAGCTCACAGTTAGAAGAGCCTTGGTTTAATCTCCAGTATAAAGTGCAATTTAAAAAATACGATTTTCCTTGTGTGCACTCTACTATTATTTCTTCAATCCTACCTCATGACCACAGTGAGATCTGCAGACCCCACATCCCTCACCAATTCCCCATCCCTGTGTGCAAGACTTTTGGGCTGGGCCCTGCCCGTGCCCCCCACCTGCTCCCTCACAAAAGGCCTCCGGTTGGGTGGGAGGAATCTTCCACCTTCACCCCAGCTACAGGGTCAGGAGCTGGAATTCCGAGCTCTGGATGCCTGGGCAGCTCTGCACCCCCTCATCTTCCCTCCATTCCCAGATGTACAAGACTCACCACCAGTCTCCATAGCAACCATTACCCCTGGCCTCCAGAGGCCCCAAGTGTGACCCCGCCCCCTGGGACAGGCTTCCTGGCCTGGAAGAGGAGGAACACATCTCGGACTAACATGGTTTCTTCTTTGGTGTTGACATCAGTCTTTACAGCCCAACGCTGGGCTAAAGGACCCAGGGGAGCCCTCTGCAGGTCTGGGGGAGGCCTAGTGGGGTCCAGGAGGGCAGGTTCTCATCTCCCCGACTAACCCACGCATGCTGAGTACTTGATATGTGTAGCCCCAGCAGGGATGAGCGCAGGCCAAGAAAGACAGAAGCCTGTCCCTTGAGCAGCTTGTATTCTAGGAGGGCGACAACATAAACCAGCAGACAACTTCAACTTTCCACAGAAGCTGGGAGGGAAATAAAGGCCCATGGGGTGAGGATGTGTACTCCAGGCGGAAGGATTGTCAAAGGCAAGTCCCAGGGCAGGCACCCTGGTGGAGGAAGAGGAGAAAGCCCCCCCTCCCCCCCCCCCC